CCACTTGCGGCTTTTTTCTTTTTGCTTATGTGGTACTGAGGAATCGAACCCAGGGCCTCGAGCATGCAAGGCAAGTGCTCTACCACTGAGCCACCTTCCCAGCCCCAAATTATACTTCTTGATAATAGTCTTTTATATATGTAAATCGTAAGTTATCTACTGATAAAAGAGAAAAGCAAAACCATAAAGAATACTAGTACAGCTGGGCACCGGTGGCTCACGCCTGTAATCCTATCTACTGAGGAGGCTGAGATCTGAGGGTCATGGTTCAAAGCCAGCCCGGGAAGGAAAGTCCGTGAAACTCATCTCCAATAAACCACCCGAAAACTGGAAGTGGCTCAGGTGGTAGAGCGCGTTCGCCTTGAGCTGAAGAGCGCAGGGACAGTGCCCAACCCCAGAGTTCAAGCCCCACGACTGACAAAAAAAAAAAAGAATACAAGTACAGGGTCTCATATAATTAAATATAATAAATAGGATAGGTACAGCATTACTCCATATTAATGTCTGAGGAAGTAACTCAGAGTTACTTTATAGTGTAGTATGTTGATTAATAGCTATCATAACCACTAGTAAAATTCAGTAGAATTTATTATTTTAGTCAAAAAGGTAGATAAATGTGAAATATATTTAAAATTATTTCACCCAAAGTGGTAAAACTGAAAACTGGTATCAGTTCTGTATAAACTTTAGGCTTTGGAGCTATTTGATCTCTGTTGCAGCTATTTAACTCTTCATGTGTAAAGTAGAAGTATGCTTACGTTCCAATAAAATTCTATTAAACCGCTGGGCCCTGGTGGCTCACGCCTGTAATCCTAGCTATTCAGGAGGCTGAGATCTGAGGATCGTGGGTAAAAGCCAGCCTGGGCAGAAAAGTCCATGAGACTCTTATCTCAAATAAACCACCAGAAAACCAGAAATAGTACTGTGGCTCAAGTGGTAGAGCACTTGCCTTGAGCTGAAGAGCTGAGGGACAGACCCAGACCCAGAGTTCAAGCCCTACGAACGACCAAAAAAAAAAAAAAAAAAATTCTATTAAACCATTCTTAGCCAGTCTTTGATTTAGAGAAAATTGTTAGAACTCTGGGAAACCTGAGTGTTCAGTATGGCTCATGCTAAGGCAGACAAAAATACATAAAGTCACATTCAGTATAATGATATTTAGTCAATGATTGGCCACATATACAGTAATGGTCCCATAATGCTGTATTGTCTGGGGCTAGTGTAGCTGTCTTTAAGTACATACTATAATATTCACTTAAAGATGCATTACTTCCCAGACAGTCCTCAAATAACAAGCAGGTTATATCCCCAAAATCTCATGATAAGTAGAAAAGACTACAAGGCAAAATCACATATCTTTCCTCTAGAAATGTAATTAATCTATGGTAGATGTCAGTTGTTTGTTCCATTATGGCAGGGCTGTCTGAGAGTGTATCTTGCAGCCATTGAAAGTATCTTGATCATAGACAGAATCATGCTGCATATTGCTGTTATAGGAAGAGCTTCAAATTCGAAGTATGGTTCATGTTGAATATGTGCATTTTTGTAAAGTTCATGTTTTCCTTATAATAGTGGACTATCTGATGATAGAAAACGAAATGAGTAGTTTTTTTTTTTTACATGTCTTGTTTAAAAATGGAGAAATACACGCAGATACTGGGCTGAGTGGCTTTTTAAAAATTACATTGAGTGCTGTGAATGTGACTTAGTGGCAGAGTGCTTGCCTATCATGCATGACGCCCTGGGTTTGATTCCTCAGTACCACGTACATAGAAAGAGCCAGAAGTGGCACTGTGCTTCAGGCGGTAGAATGCTAGCTTTGAACAAAAGAAGCTCAGGGACAGTGCCCAGGCCCTGAGTTCAAGCCCCAGGACTGGCAAAAAAAAAAAAAATTGGAAGTATTGGAGGTGTGCCTTTAGCAATAGTGCGCTAGCCTAGCAAGTGTAAGACCCTGAGTTTACACCCCACAGCGAAAAATGAAAAAGTTTGAAACTGCCCTGAAGTACAGAAGGCCTCCTTGCCTGTGGAGATGTCTGTGCCGTGTACACTTTGTGTACACACTTTATACACTTTCCTCTGTGTGCATAACACAACGCTTAATTTATATATTGGAAGCTTTAAAATTTTAATAACATGTGAGTGTTGGCTCTAGTGTTCTGTAATGTCCTCACCTGTGGCGTGAGGCAATGCAGCACCTGTGTGGTGAGATGGACAAGGTGAATGATGTAGGGATGGAGAATGTAAGGGGGAGGCAGCGTTTCTCAGCACACTAGTACTTGAAAATATGTCCAGGCACCGGTGGCTCATGCCTGTAATCCTAGCTACTCAGGAGGCTGAGATCTGAGGATCGCGGTTCAAAGCCAGCCCAGGCAGGAAGTCTATGAAAACTGGAAGTGGCACTGTGGCTCAAGTGGTAGAACACTAGCCTTCGGCACAAAGAGACTCAGGGACAGGGCCTAGCCCCTGAGTTCAAGCCCCAGGACCAGCAAAAATCAATCAATCAACGTTTTTTAAGTTTTGATACTTTGTAACATGTCTTCTTAGGGAATCTCTTTGACTTCTGCTTACAGTATGTTGGGATTCTTTAATGTGTATATTGATATCTTCAGATTTAGATTTTTCCATTGAATCTTCAATTATTACTGAATCTTAAGTGCTGAAACCTTCTCTTTATGGCCTATGCATCTTAGGTGCATAACCACTGTGTGTGGTCAGTAAAGTCTGTTCTATCATCTCTTCACTCAGCTAGTGACCTAATAAAGATGATTTCAAAGGTGTTCAAAAAAAATAAGGAAAACTAACATATACTCTCTTTATTAATCCCTTGGAAACTACAGAAGCCAAGGATGATTGAAGAGTGGTGGCTAGCCTTTGTGCCAGCCCCTCAGTAGTCTATGAGACTCTTACATCCAAACACCACCAAAAAGCCAAAAGTAGAACTGTGGTTCAAGTGGTAGAATGCTAGCCTTGTGCACAAAAGCTCAGGGACAGCACTTGGGCCTTGGGGTTCAAGTCCCAGGTCCAGCACCAAAAAACAAGCCCAAGGATGCTTCATCTGTTACTTGAAGAGTAGATTCTTATTGCCTGTTTTGTCTCCAGGGTCCTGTAGTTACTGGTATAGTAGACAGGTAATGAATGATAGTAACTACTGCCATGGAAAGACTGAAGCTTAACTTTAATACGTATCAGAGTTCAAAAATAGTTTCTTCAGATATTTTCTGTAGTTATATCTTTCTCTCAGTTTTGTGTATTTGATTTCTTCCTTTTTATAGATAACATACCTAAATTGTAGAAGCATTACTATATACAAAAATAATATAGATTTAGTTGTACTCTATAAATTATGATTATATATTGTAATTGTTGGGAAAATGGAGGAGAATAGAAAAGGAATAGGTCAGACTCGATCGTCAACAGGTAAGGACTGTTTATTGAGGAGCAGCGAGGGGCACAGACCTTCCTGCAGGTTTGGAGGTTGTGCAAGGGACTGGATTTGGGGGGTTGGCTTATATAGATCTTAACAAGGAAGCAGAGGATAAAAATGGGCTATGGTCTCTTGGAAGCCAAGAGCAATGTCCTTGGCCAGGCCTACAGTGGAATGCTGTGGTGTAGGGGCCATTGTCTCCTGGGGGCCAAGGTCGGAATGACTTGCCTGTGGATAAGCACATGAGCACGCACTTAGTGCTTTGCTTGACCCAGGGGAATAAGGCAGGATTCAATCCTTCATATTCCATCCTTGGATACATAAAAAGATTGAGCAGAGGCGGGAGAGGCAGATCCTTCAGTAATTATATTCAGTTATATGTTATTATAAATCTATCACAGATACTTTGTGTGTATATGAATACACAAAATCACTTAGGACGTATGATTGGAATTTTACTCAGAAAGTGCACTGTAACTTCCATGTCTTGTTGATTAATCTGGAAGCTAAAAAATAATATGACTGCTTTCACATCTCAGTAAAACCTGGGTCATGTCTTACACAAGTTCAAACCCAAAGATCTCTTCTATCATTTAAAGGAACCTGGATTGGACATACCTTAGCATCTGCAAAAAACAGCCTGCCAGATAGTGTGTTATGTATGCTGAGTGTTAGTAATAATAGAAAAAAGAGAATTAAAAAACTGAAGAAGTGGCGGGAAAGTGAGATTTCCAGATAAAAACATAGCAGCTTTATATTCATTCCCACTTACGGAGCAGAAGCCACTATGTGATCTCAAAACCCAATAAAGAATTAAAATTTTACATTTTGAAAATTAGGTGATTTCATTGTTGTTTCTCAGAAAATAACAGGGTGTTTGGTTTTGTTTTGGTAGTACAAGGTTTGAAATGGAAGCTTTTTCTTTCTAGAGAGGCACTGTACCACCAAACCATCCCTCTAACCCTTTTTGCTTTTGTTATTTTTACATAGTGTCTCATATTTTGCTCATGATAGCCTGCCTGTACTATGATCATGGTATGCATTATTTTCTGTATAGCTGGGAAGGCAGGTGTGTACCACTATCCCCAGCTATTGGTTGAGATATGGGAGTCCGTTAACTTTTGCCCTGCTTAGCATCTAATTACAATCCTTTGGTCTCTGCTTCCAAAATAGCTAGGTTTAGTAGCCACTGTGCCTAGCTAATAGTTCATTTTTGGCCTCAGTTGTTACTAACTAGATACCATGTATGCTTATTTTAAATTTATTCTTCTTAAAACTATAAGACATTATTTGTACAGCACAGCTACTTTCTAATGTTATCATTGTACTAATGTGGACACTTACTTGAAGATTATAGACTTTCATACGCTATTTTAAAACTTTACTGACAGACCACCTACTTTAAAAAAAAATCCTTTTCTCTTTAATTGTACTCTTAGTGAAATGTGTGGGCTTACATAACACATGACAACTTAAACTATTGGGTATAAAAAGGTTGATGTTGCAGTACTGAGGTTGGGCTTACTTAGGATTTGTGAATAGGTACTATAGCTAAGTGTATCTTTCCCTATTGCAGGATGACGTAGCTTTGCCAAGGACTCAAGACACTAAGCAGAAAATGAGCTTAACATCCTGGTTTTTGGTGAGCAGTGGAGGCACTCGCCACAGGCTGCCTCGGGAAATGATTTTTGTTGGGAGAGATGACTGCGAGCTCATGCTGCAGGTATGTTCTATCTTTTGTATGTCACTACTCACCTCAAAAAAAACAAACAAAAAAAACTCAACTATTTATTTATTTAGGATCTGGTCATGGGGCCTGAACTCTGGGCCTGGGCGCTGTCCCTCAACTCTTCAGCTCAAGGCTAGCACTCTACCACTTGAGCCACAGCGCCACTTCCGGCTTTTTTCTTTTTGCTTATGTGGTGCTGAGGAATCAAACCCAAGGCCTCATGCATGCAAGGCAAGCGCTCTACCACTGAGCCACCTTCCCAGCCCCTGGTTTTTTTTTTTTTAATACATTTTTTATTGTAAAAATACTGTACAGAGGGTTACAGTTACATGAGTAAGGTAATGAGTACATTTCCTATCAAGCATTGTTACCTTCTTTGTTTTTCCCCTACCCTCCCTGCCATCCCTCCTCCACATCTTGAGCACAAGTTTTTGAATGGGGAACAGAATACCCTAGGTATATTCCAATTGGGATACCTTTTTCCTCACCCCGATGGAGGCATGTGATGTTTCCTTATCTTTGCCTTGACGTACATACATGTTGGGCTTCTGGAAATAAGACGTTATGAAAAGAAAAGATGATGGCCTCATTTAGATTGTGCTATGAGTTTTTATGTCTCAAGCCGTCTGCCTCTTGGCAAGCTGTTCTCTTTTCACTTATCCCCATACTTCCCACTTGGCAGCTTGCCTTCTGCGATGAGGTGTTACTGTTGTTTTTATTGTTTTTTTTTTTGTTTTTATTTTTTATTTATTTTATTTTTGGGGGGATCTGGTCGTGGGCCTGAACTCTGGGCGTGGGCGCTGTCCCTCAGCATTTCAGCTCAAGGCTAGCACTCTACCACTTGAGCCACAGCGCCACTTCCGGCTTTTTTCTTTTTGCTTATGTGGTGCTGAGGAATCGAACCCAGGGCCTCATGCATGCAAGACAAGCGCTCTACCACTGAGCCACCTTCCCAGCCCCTTTGTTTTTATTTTTTTAAATATTTTACAATTAATATAATTGTACAAAGTGTTTCATTGTGATACTTCCACATATGTATATAGTGTATTCTCATCAATCTCAACCCCTCTGCTCCTCTTACCCTTCTTCCTCCTTCCTAAAACAATTTCCATTTTCATACATAGGTTTTCTTCTACTTTCATACATAGAAACAAACACTTTGACTGTATTCATCATTATCCATCCTCCTTCTTAGCCCAACCCGATCCCAAGATAACTTTTTGAGTTTTGTTTGTTTCATTTCATGGGGGGACGGTGGTCTTGGGGCATAAACTCAGGGCCTAGGTGATGTCCCTGAGATTTGTGCAGAAGGTTAGTACTCTACCACTCAAGCCACAGCTCCACTTCTGGCTTTTTGGTGATTTGTTGGAGATAAGCGTCTCTACACACTTAACTACCTTTACTGCATTTGAACTGGGATCTTCAGGTCTCAGACTCCTGAGTAGCTAAGATTATAGGTATGGGCCACCAACACCCAGCTTATTCCACATTTTTCTAATGAGAGAGGAAGTAGTAACTTCCAAGTTCTTTATATATTAGACAGTAAAGTACAAGCCATATTTCCTCGCTATTTCTGGTGCCACCTTTGCTGCTTAATATCAAAGTTTACATAGCTACCTTATAATAAGTGGTTTTAAAGTTCAGATTCATTGGTTCCCAAGCTATTTCTTCCTGTGATTGTACTGATACTTTTTTTCAGTAGCAGTTTCCTAAGGCTTATAAATGATGTACAAACAACTGACTTTGGGGAGAAAATGGAAGAGAACTTTAAAAGGGACTCAAAAGCAACTTTAAAAAACTTTTTTAGGGGCTGGGAAGGTGGCTCAGTGGTAGAGCGCTTGCCTTGCATGCCTGAGGCCCTGGATTCGATTCCTCAGCACCACATAAGCAAAAAGAAAAAAGCCGGCAGTGGCGCTGTGGCTCAAGTGGTAGAGCGCTAGCCTTGAGCTAAAGAGTTGAGGGACAGCGCCCAGTCCCAGAGTTCAGGCCCCACGACCGGACCAAAAAAAAAAAAAAACAAAACTTTTTTACTCATGTAATTGTAACCCCTCTGTATGGTATTTTCACAATAAAAAAATACAGTGAAGAAAAAACTTTTTAAAAATTCCTTTTTATTGGCTTTCTTTCACTCATAAAGCTCACCCAAGAAACCCAGTTTTAGAATCCACATTTCAAGTAAGGATAATTAGAGACAAAGATACCTCATTATGACTCTTTTACGTCTTTGGATTGCTGTACAATTATAATTTCCAGTATTTAAAGAAAAAAATTCAGAGTTGGGCACTGGTGGCTCATGCCTGTAATCCTAGTTGCTCAGGAAGCTGAGATCTGAGGATCACGGTTCAAAGCCAGCCCAGGCAGGAATGTCCGTGAGACTTTTATCTCCAATTAACCACCAGAAAACTGGAAGCGGCACTGTGGCTCAAATGGTAGAGTACTAGTCTTGAGCTGAAGAGCTTAGGGACAGTGCCCAGACCCAGAGTTCAAGCCTCATGAGTGACAAAAAAAGATTTGGGGCTGGTTATGTGGCTTATTTGGTAGAGTACTAATCTTGAAAAAAAGAAGCTCAGGGACAGTAACCAGATACTGAGTTTAAGCCCCGGCACTGGCAGGAAATAAAAAGAAAAAGATTCTTCAGGTACTGTTTTTTTTTGTGTGTGTTTTTTTTTAAATAACAAGATACATAAAGGATGGATGTAGATCAGTGGTATATCCCTTACCTAGCACACACAGGCCTGGATTCTACCCCAAAAATCATGGAGAAAAACATATATAAAATATTACAAGGAGGGGACTGGAAAGGTGACTCAGTGGTAGATTGCTTGCCTTGTATGCATGAGTCCATAGGTTTGATTCCTCAGCACCATATAAGCAGAAAAAGCCAGGCGCTGTGGCTCAGGTGGTAGAGCGCTAGCCTTGGGCTGAAGAGCTGAGGGAGTTCAGACCTCATAACTGACAAAAAAAAAAAGGAAATATATATATATATATATACACATACACACACACACACACACACACACACACACACACTACAAGGAGGAGGTAACAATGCTCAATAGGAACTGTACTCATTACCTTCCTCATGTAACTGTGACCTCTCTGTACAGTATTTTTTCAATAAAAAATATATACAAAAATATTACAACCTAATTCTCATGGTTTCTATGTAAAAGTTTCATATGTTTTAAATGTAATGTGATATATTTAACAAAGTCGTCTACATTAAATTCTCTCAAAATTAGAACATGTACATTGAGTAGAAAGAATATTCTTTTTTAATGTTGTTAATTTCTTCTTTGGGGAATGATGCCAGATTTGTGTTGTGTAGTAACACAATTTTAATCTCATTTAATATACTTTTGTTTGGTATTTGTTCTGTCAACTAATCTAATAATATATCTAGTTTAAAATCTTTTGTAGTATTTTAGTATTTCATTGTATTTATTAACTTTAAAAATTCTTTTCAGTCTCGCAGTGTGGATAAGCAACATGCCGTAATCAATTATGATACCGCTGCAGATGAACATTTGGTGAAAGATTTAGGCAGCCTGAATGGGGTAAGTTGATTTCTCACAGCTTCCTCTTTCTGATGTACCAGCACAGGGGCTGTAGTTCAGAGACCTGAGTCTGAATTACTGTTCTAGACTCTGAGGCCTCGATTATAACTCCTTTTTCTGTACCCCATTTTTCTTCCACCTTTACACAAGAGGTAAAGTTGTGATTGAATGATGTTGCAATAGAAACAAATCTTACTTAGCTTCCTGTATGTAATTTATTAGTGTGTTTGTTTTTTTTGGGGGGGGTGGCGGTCATGGGGCTTGAACTCTGGGCTTGGGCACTATCCCTCAGCTCTTCAGCTTAAGGTGAGCACTGTACCGCTTGAGCCACAGCATCACTTCTGGTTTTCTAGTAGTTTATTGGAGATAAGAGTCTCATGGAGGGGCTGGGAAGGTGGCTCTGTGGTAGAGCCCTTGCCTTGCATGACTGAGGCCCTGGATTCGATTCCTCAGCTCCACATAAGCAAAAAGAAAAAGGCCAGAAGTGGCGCTGTGGCTCAAGTGGTAGAGTGCTAGCCTTGAACTGAAGAGCTCAGGGACAGCACCCAGGCCCAGAGTTCAGGCCCCCCGACCAGACCTCCCCAAAAAAAAGAGTCTCATTGAGTTTCCTGCCTGGGCTGGCTTTGAACCATGATCCTCAGATCTCAGCCTCCTGAGTAGCTAGGATTACAGATGTGAGCCACCAGCACCAGGCTTAGTATGTTTCTTACTTGGTTTACTAGAATTACTTTTTCCCTGTTGCTATTTAAAAATTTCTCTCTTCCTTTTATAATTTTAGACCTGCAGGAGATTTTCTCCCAGATGTTTTGACTTACATGTTTGTGAGCTGAAATTTTGTCTGGCTTATTTCCTAGCTCTTTTTAAACTTTAGGGAATATTTCTGTCATAATAGCATGTTAAAAATTGTTTCATGATCTCTGAAAACTGGCTGGTACATAAAGTCACCCTATGAATGCTTTATATTTAGGAGAGTTGAGCAATCAGATTTTAAATGGCTCTGATAGTCATTTTAGGCCTTTTGAGTAAATGTATTTTTGATTGACTATGAGATAGATTTAAATAAAATTGACTCCTAATTCCTCTTAATTATGTACCTACTTGTTTATCTTCTGCATACAGAAATCAGTGAATTAATATGTTTATGCTTTTGTTTTCCTGGGCTTTTCTGTTTTGTAATTATACTGTATTTTGATAAACTTAAGAATATAACTTTAAGCCAGCACCAGTGGCTCATGCTTGTGATTACAAGCTACTCCGGAGACTAAGATATATATGAAGATTATTATGGTTTGAGGCCAGCTGGGGCAGGAAAGTCCTTGAGACTCTTTATCTCCAATTACCTTCTAGAAAACTGGAAGTGGTGCTGTGGCTCAAAGTAGTAGAGCTCTAACCTTGAGTGTAAAAGCTTGGGGATAGCACCCAAGCTCTGAGTTCAAGCCCCTTGACTGACAAAAACAAAAACACAACAACAAAAAAAACCCATAACTTTAAAACATTCTCACATGCTTATTTTAGAAATGAATCTGATTTAGAGTTTATAAGTCCTAGAAGCATTCACATTTCAACCTCTCCAGTTTTTTTTTTTCTTCTGCTTATGTGGTGCTGAGGAATCGAACCCAGGGCCTCATGCATGCAAGGCAAGCACTCTACCACTGAGCCACCCTCCCAGCTCCACATTTCAACCTCTCTATACAGTATGTTGGAAAGTTGTGATTTAAGATTACTTTTGAAACCAGGCACCCGTGGCTCATACCTGTAATCCTAACTACTCAGAAAGCTGAAATCTGAGGATCACAGTTCAAAGTCAGCCCAAGCAGGAAAGTCTGTGTAACTTTTAACTCCAATAAACTACTCAGAAAAAGCTGGCAGTGGCACCATGGTTCAAATGGTAGAACACTAGCCTTGAGCAAAAGAAGCTCAGAGACAGTGCTCAGACCCTTGAGTTCAAGCCCTAGAACTGACCAAAAAAAGAAAAGATAATTTCTGAATCAGATTGAATTGTGATTTAGAAGTAATTAACTGTTTATATATGTCTGTGATTGGAATTAAGATTGCCAATTTCAGCCAGGCACTGGTGGCTCACGCCTATAATCCTAGCTACTCAGGAAGCTGAGATCTGAGGATCGAGGTTCAAAGCCAGCTCAGGCAGGAAAATCCATGAGACTCTTATCTCCAATAAACCACCAGAAAACCAGAAGTGGCACTGTGGCTCAAGTGGTAGAGTGCTCGCCTTGAGCTGAAGAGCTGAGGGACAGTGCCCAGGCCCAGAGTTCAAGCCAATTTCTTTTGTAGACCTAGGAAGTATTATTATGACATATTACAAGGAGCTAATTGTGCATAGAAATTTGAGAATATGACCATAATAGCATAGTCCTTTCATGTACTTTATTATTCAGCACTAGAGGCCCTCTAACCTTCCTCACCACGGGGAACCTTTCCAAACAAGCTCTCCATGTGTTCTGAAATTAAGTAGAATGGAGAAATGGAATTTACAAGGAAGGAAGGTTTCAATTTACCAAAGAAAATCTCTAAATGATCTCCACATTTGCTCTAGTGTTCTTCTAATGAATTCTAGTTTTTACCTTTCAGAATGCAAGCAGAAATAATCATCACCTTTTACCATTTATCTGTGTCCAGAGAATCTTTTAACTTCACATATACTTCAAGTTTTTTCACAAATAATTTATAGAAGTAAGCATACAGAAAGAATAAAAATAATCTGAAATTTTGCTTAGGTATGGTAAGCAAATTTTTATTCTGTACTTTCCTAGTTTTCAAAGGCACTCAATGGACAGTAGTGTTACTTGAAGGCAGTCAACTGTTTACCAGGTAGGATACATTCACCTGTGATGTACTGCCACTTGCTAAGTATTGGCTGGTTCCAAAAGTCAGGTACATCTCTAGTTGGCTATAAATTACTATTTTTGTTTATTTTTGTTCTGATATGGTCAACTAGCTTTTTAAAAATTTTAATAGCCTTGAGCTGAAGAGCTGAGGGGCAGCGCCCAGGCTCAGAGTCCAGGCCCACGACCGGACCCAAAATAAAAACCAAAATAAAACTTTAATAGCTTTTTAACTCATTTAACTCATTTTCAAAGCAAATCATTTTATGTTTTAATTATTTTGTTCTTGAAAACTATTTTTAGATTTATAAACAAATAGAAGATGGATAAATCTCATAATTTCATTTCTACATCATTTTGTATATACATTATTAGTTTTCCTCTTTAGTCACCTTGCAGTAGACAATTGGCTTTGAGCTTTTGTTGACTTACCAACTGTACCACAGAAATACCAGAACACACTCAGAAAAAAATACTGGAAACATTTCTTTTAAAATACAAAATCAGATTCTTACTAGAAAATACTGTATGATTCTTATTGAATATATAACTGGATGAATATACCTTGTTTTCTTTTTGTCCTTAGAAACATTCTATTCTCACTGATTCTTGGGTTAAAGAAAGTTAACATATGATCATTTTTCTCTGAAGGCCTGAAGGCCTCATAATTTTTCTCATGGTATCATTTATCTTTGTATCTTAGTCTATAGAATGGTGCCATCTGTGTCTTGTTATATTTTTTATAAATGAGAAATCTTTCTGCCTGTTCTCTTTGCTTTATGGACATTAAATCAGAAATTCTGAATTTTCATTAGTGCTCTTTGATAGTTTAGCATAAAAAAAAAAACAAAACCTCACAAAGATAGTAGTGCCAGATGTCTTTTATGTCTTCTTGGAAAGCTCATACTGTAGTATTTTAGGCCTTGCAATAAGAAAACTGAAGGATGATAAAATGATGACTTGTTTCACTGTGAAATATTCCTTGAGGTCTGTGCTTCTCTTTATAGTAGCCATGAGCCATGTGGCTGGCTATTGAGTACTTGAAATGTGACTAGTCAAAATTTCAAAGACTTAGTACCAAAATAAAAATAATTTATATATTATTTATTTAGTCAGTCATGGGGCCTGAACTCAGCCTGGGCTCTGTCCTTGAGCTCTTCAGCTCAAGGCTAGCACTCTACTTGAGCCACAGTGCCACTTCTGGTTTTCTGGAGGTTAATTGAGATAAAGAATCTCACGGACTTTCCTGCCCAGGCTGGCTTCAAACTGTGATCCTCAGGTCTCAGCCTCCTGAGTAGTTAGGATTGTAAGCATGAGCCACTGACACCTGGGTATATATATATTTTTATATACACATGCATATAAAAATCTTGATGAGGGCTGGGAAGGTGGCTCAGTGGTAGAGCGCTTGCCTTGCATGCAAGAGGCCCTGGGTTCGATTCCTCAGCACCACATAAGCAAAAAGAAAAAAGCCGGAAGTGGCGCTGTGGCTCAAGTGGTAGAGCGCTAGCCTTGAGCTGAAGAGCTGAGGGACAGTGCCCAGGCCCAGAGTTCAGGCCCATGACCGGACCCAAAAAAAAAAAAAAAATCTTGATGATTGGGGCTGGGAAGGTGGCTCAGTGGTAGAGCGCTTGCCTTGCATGCATGAGGCCCTGGGTTCGATTCCTCAGCACCACATAAGCAAAAAGAAAAAAGCCGGAAGTGGCGCTGTGGCTCAAGTGGTAGAGCGCTAGCCTTGAGCTGAAGAGCTGAGGGACAGTGCCCAGGCCCAGAGTTCAGGCCCCACGACCGGACCCAAAAAAAAAAAAAAAAATCTTGATGATTTTTCTTTATTGTTTATTGAAATGGCACACTTTTGGAATATACTGGGTTAAATTAAAAGTATTTTATTAAAACTAACTTTATTCCTCATTATCTTCATTTGTTCCCACTAGAAAATTTAAACTGTTCATAGTTTATTTTACGGTTTGCGGTATATTGTTGAATAATGACTGCTGTATAAGGTGATTCTGCTATTCTTTTGTCTTACTACTTAAGTATTTTAAGTAATTACTATTTAAGTAATTTTTTGCATTGTTAGAAATAACTGAATAAAGATGAAACAATTAAAATGATTATAAACCAGCAGATTTTCAAAATATAGAAAACATTACTTCACTAAAATTCCATAACGCATCTTAGATTCATAAGATTATCCAGAGACGCTATCTAGCAGTTGTAACATAGAAATTTTATTTTTCTTTTTTCGTCAGTCATGGGGCTTGAACTCTGGGCCTGGGTGCTGTCCCTCAGCCCTTCAGCTCAAGGCGAGCGCTCTACCACTTGAGCTACAGCGCCGCTTCTGGTTTTCTAGTGGTTAATTGGAGATAGGAGTTTCATGGTCTTTTCTGCCTGGGCTGGCTTTGAACCACGATCCTCAGATCTCAGCCTCCTGAGTAGCTAGGATTACAGGCTTGAGCCACCAGCACAGGGAAGAAATTTTTTTTTTCTTAAGTGGTTTCTTTTTATTCTTTGGGATAATGTTAAAAATAAAAGTGATAAAATATCAATCCTCACAAATATATTGTTCCTTAAATGCTACAGTTGCAATCAGTAAAGCTTGATATATTAAGAGTTAAATATTTCTCTCTTTACAGTTTGTCAGCTTCAGAGTAGGAGCTTTCTTGGCATCATTTTCAGAATGGTGCTAAGTGCCTATATTCATCTTGGCAGCACCATGTTCTTTGTTTGCTGTCAGTAATACTGAGAAAGGATTGCTATAGAATAATATATCATGATGTAGGATACATAGTGCATCTGAGGATAGATGCACAAGCTGTGTTGGCCACCATATGTATATGTATACGATATGTGACATGTATGAGGTTTGAGAATTTGATTGCATGGAATGTGCGAAATTATACATCATATGTAACCTAACATCTTTTCTAATTGCAGACTTTTGTGAATGATGTAAGGATTCCAGAACAGACTTATATCACTTTGAAGCTTGAAGATAAGCTGAGATTTGGATATGATATCCTTATGTGATTTTGTTCATTTATTAAAATGTATTCAAAAATATTTGCTCTGGTATAAATTAACATTTTGAGATAGAAGAATTATTAATATAAATATATTAGAAATTTGTTTTTTGGATCCCTTCCCATGTTAAAATAATACATATTCAGAAATATTTTTTTAGTTACTATGTCTATTCCTAAAAATAATTATTGAAAAATTGATAGACTCGGCTAGATTTCTTCTCTTACTCTTTGTGTAGTCTTACCAACAGTCTCCCTGCAGTACTGTTGCACATATAATTTGTGTACCAAAGAATGTAACTGGAGAAAGGGCCTGGAGAACATTTCATTTTTGCTCAGCTCAGGAATTCTTCTCAGGTAGCTTACAGTGATACACATCAACCTCCTGGAGAGAATGTAAGAATTTCAACCTACCTTTCCTTCCAACTGTTCCCCTTACTCTAACTCCTTTAGGCATTACATCTATGTTACCTATTTAATTCAAACTTTCAGCATCATGTGCTTTCTAATAACAATACTCTGGATGTTTAGTGTGTATTTGAATTTCTATTGTTTAAAGATAGGCCTGCTGTTTGTAATCTCAGCTCCTTGGAAGGCAGATCAGAAAGCTTATGGTTCAATGCAAGCCCAGGTAAACAGTTAACAAGAACCCTCAATCAGTAAGCCTGGTGTGGTAATATGGGTCCATATTTGTCCCTCAAGTTATGTGGGAAGTGAAGGTGGTAGGATAACAGTCTGAGGCTGACTTTAGAAAAAATGTGAGACCCTTCCTGAAAAATAAAGCCAAAAAGGCTAGAGTTGTGGCTCAAAATTATAAGGCACCTGCCTAACAACTGCAAGAACCTGACTTCAAATCCCAGTTTCCCCTACCTTCCCCCCCCCCAAAAAAAAATTTTCAGTCTTAATAGCTAAATAGAGACAAGATTGTATTATTCTATATAGGGTAGCTTAAACAAGCTCCAGTAGTAGGAAGGAATATAATTGAAGAATCAAAACAAAAAGAAAAAAAAAGAATCAAAACATTCCTATTTGTACGAGGCAGAAATCTTTGTACAAAGGACTTACTTATATGTGATTAAAATATAGGTGCTCTACATTATGCTGGTTCTGTGTCTTGAACTCAGGGCATGGGTACTGCCCCTGAGTTTGTGTGCTCAGGACTAGCACTCTACAACTTGAGCCACACATCAACTTCTACCTTTTTGATGGTTAAGTGGCGATAAAAGTCTCACAGACTTTCCTGTCAGTGTAGCCTAGAACTGCAATCCTCAGATCTCAGCTTCCTGAGTAGCTAGGATAAGAGGTATGAGCCATGGACACCCAGTTAACTCTAATTGCTGTGTATTTTTGGATTTCGGTAGAAAAAAAAAATGCATTGAACATTGGCAGTTTGGGTGGATTTTATCACTAATAGAGAAATTTGTAGTGTTCTCTAAAGTAGTGGTGCTCAGTGAATGCACTTAAAGAATACTAACACTTAAAATTTGTGAAATATAAAATTTTTTAAAATTTAAATGTAAACTTAGAAAAAATTTTGTAGCACATCTTATATTTATTCTTGAAAACCCAAATGAATATCTAAATATCAACCCCTTAAATATTTATCAATTGTATATTTAAAATACACATACCACTAGGCACCAGTGGTTCATGCCTATAATCCTAGCTACTCAGGAGGTTAAGATCTAAGGATCAATTTCAAGGCAGAAAAATCCAAGACACACATCTCCAGAGCTGGAGGCATGGCGCAAGTGGTACAGCACCAACTATAATCGAAAAAGCTCAGCAAGAGCTCAAGGCCCTGAGTTCAAGCCCCACTCCCAGCACACACATACACATGTATGTATGTTTTATGTAAGAGTATGCATTTAGCATGTAGAAATGTAACAATATGTTCCCTCCCTGTATAACTGATAAAAGGCAATACAAAAGAATATACATTCAAGAATGTTAGTATGTAAGTCTTCATTTTCAACCAGAATAAGTTTTATCAGACAATCAAATGCAAATATATTTTGTATTTCTATACCTCCTTAATTTTTATATAGATATTTTAAAATATATGAGAATATTAAAACATTTAAATAAAACTAGAAAGAAATTAATTTAGAATACAAATTCAAGAAGAATCTATAAAATGGGTACTGTACTATACACCTGTCTCTAATCCTAGTCTCTGGAGGATTACTTGAGCCCTGAAGATAGAAGCTAAGGATGTCTCAGAAAAAAAGGAGAAGAAATTTAAGAAATAATTTATACTTTATAATTTATATATATATTGCACAGTAATATAGTAAACTAGCAGATTTTTCCTAATACAACAACTCATACTATGTCTATGTCTTATCTAAAATTGTCTTAAGGCAAATGTTTCATACCAGACAACTTTCTCAGGGTTGTACAGTGAGTGTTGAGCCTCTACCACTTTCAACCACAGCTCCACTTCTGGTTTTCTGGTAGTTAGAGATAAAGAGTCTCAGGACTTTTTTGCCTAGGCTAGCTTCAAACCTCAATCCTCAGATCTCAGCTCCCTGAGTAGCTAGGGTTATAGGCATAAGCTACTAGCAACAGCAGCATTCTACTTTTTAAATTGCATTCTGGTGTCTCTGTTTCCTTTTTTTTTTTTTTAGTTAGTAATTGGCATCATTCAGATGAGACCTCCTTTTGTTATACATGTGTTCAGTGCTATAGAATTCCTCCTAAATATTGTTTTTCTGTTCTGTATGCTTTCTAATTAACCTTTTGATTTCTTCTTTGAGTTATATAAGTTCATTCCAAATATTTGAAGAGTTTTGCAGAGATCTGTTATTGATTTTTAATTCTCTTTTAGTCAGTGAACAGAACTTTACTAAGTTGTATATTCTGAAATCTATCTCAAATCCTTTTGAATTTATTGCTGTTTTTCCATAGCACAGAATTTGGTCTAGATAAATGCTATGTGAAAAGGATGTACATTCTGTTTGAGAGCAAACACTCCATAAATGTTCATTGGGCCTAGGTATTATTTTTAATAATAAATGTTTAAGCTTTTTGTAATTTATTGACATGAGTAATTGTGCTTAGTTTATCAAATTTTTATTGATTAGCAAATTAAAAATAACTCTTTAACAACTTAGAGCAGCACCATAAGCTTTGAAGGAAGCCTGGGCTTGGGTAGTCTCCAAATCCTGTAGGTATGTGAAGTTTACAGATAAATTGATGACATACACAAGAACTCTTGAGGTAGTCTTATGTCCACATTCAAGCAACTTTTTGGAGTTAAAGTATTTGAACTAAGAGGCATGGGCCCTCTTAGTTCCTCTCTGACCTAAAACCCATCTAAATCTCAGGACAGCCCAGACTAGCCCTAAATAATAACCTTCACATATTACCAAGAGGTAAACCTGAAGCCCAGGAAGTCCTTACAAAATACTAGAATTACTTACATTTCCTATCGAGAGCAAATCACTACAATTTCTTAATGCTATTATTTCCATTAAAAAGGTAGGAATGCTGTGAATATTTTCCAGACAATTTAAGAGTCTTGGGGGTAAAATATTGCTAATAGTTACTTATTTTTAGTTATGAGGTGTGTATTCTATAGATACCAGCAGATATAGGACAGTGTATGTACTTAGCAGAAAAGGAAAGTTTTAGTATTTCAAAGCTATTAGGAGCGATATGAAGTGATAGGAAAGCCCTGGGCTGGATTCTGTAACTAGATTCTTGTATTAGCTTCTCTCTCTCCTGTACCCAAATCTTTATCTAAAGTAAAACAAGAACAAAAGTTAATGGATTTGATTAGACATTCTCCAAAGTTCATCACAATTCTAAACAGTTATGTTAGTAAGTTTACTGCTTCTATTATGTTTTGGAAGTTGCCTTTACCCCCAATTAGTCATGCTAATTAATTTTCTACCCTAGAAGCGATAGATGAGTATTATAAATTAATACAGAAGAATAGATTGTAGTGCATGGTTTAAAGGTCCTTTCTTTACAGGTGAAGTAATGAGGGGGAATAAGATCATTAGTAAAGCTTTTAAATGTATAGAGGCATTATTCTTGGAGCATGATAATGAAGGCATTCATATCTAGTACTGTGTTCTGATCTGTATGGAATCTGTTGTTTGATAATGTAATGTGACCCTGGTTTACAGTACATGGTTGAAAGGAGTAGTGGTTGTCATAAGACTTTAGTTATAGCATTTCTTTTGCACTTGTAAAATGAACTTTATTTTTATCCAAATGCATGAAAATCTGAGTAATTAAATTCCTTCAGGATTTGCTCTTGAGTAATCACTTAAGGCAGACTTATATTTTCATCAATAAAGCTTGATTCTCAGTGCTTTTTCTTCATCATAAACAGGTCATTTTACAAAAATTAAAATGTGTTTGAGCTCTCCTTATTTGTTTTTTAAAAGCCAATGTTACCTAAAGTTTAGAAATACTTGCTCTAGGGATTTTTAAAGTACTTAAGATGAAATTTTTATATTTGTAAGTATGTTCAACATTTTATATTCATATTCCACTGTGGCTAGTCTTTGAACTAAGGCAGTCTTTTAAATTAGGTTGAAGCTGGTTACCAAGATTTCAGAGTTCTATTCTTCCTTAGCCCCGTTTACATACAAATCTTTTCACTGTAGTTCGAGGAGAGCTGAGGGTCCCTGAGGAAGCTCTTAAGGTAAAACTCACCCTTCTTTCATGGACAAAGCATTTGCGGGCTTGGTTTCATTCACGATGTATCACTTCAATTTTTAAATGTTTCCTAGCATGAGAAGTTTACTATTCAGCTTCAATTGTCTCAGAAATCTTCAGAATCAGAATTGTCAAAATCTGCAAGTGCCAAAAGTGTGGATGCAAAGGTTGCAGATGCTGCTTCAGAAGTGCCACACAAAGCCACAGAGGCCTTGAAGGCTGAGGAGAAATCCACAGGTAAGCCTATTTCCCAGAAACACCTTACTGTACTTGGCTTGGAAGAAATTGCATTAGTTCTCAAAAAAAAAAACAAAAACAACTTGCTGTGTACATATAAAAATGTACACATATAAAAATGATGATTTCACAGTGTATTTTTTTTGTCATGGGGCTTGAACTCTGGGCGTGGGTGCTGTCCCTCAGCTCTTCACTCAAGGCTAGCACTCTTCTACTAGAGACACAGCACTGCTTCTGGTTTTCTGAGTGGTTTATTGGAGGTAAGAGTCTCATGGACTTTCCTGCCCGGGCTGTCTTTGAACAGTGATCCTCAGATCTCAGCCTAGGATTACAGGAGTGAGCCACCAGTACCCGGCTTCCACAGTGTATCTTAATGCAGCTGATGATTTCATTATTAAGCATTATAAAGCACAGCCAGGTATGGTAGCTCATGCCTGTAATCCCAGGAAGTGTAGAGTAAGTAGAATGGTTTAAGGTAAGCACAGACAAAAAGTGAGCAAGACCCCATCTCAATCAACAAGTTAGGCATTGTGGTTCATCCAAGATACCTAAGAGACATGAGTATAGTCTGAGACCAGCCTCCAGGATAGAAGTTCAAAACTCTATCCAAAAAAATTAAACATGGGGGGCTGGGAAGGTGGCTCAGTGGTAGAGTGCTTACCTTGCATGCATGAGGCCCTGGGTTCGATTCCTCAGCACCACATAAGCAGAAAAAGCCGGAAGTGGTGCTGTGGCTTAAGAGGTAGAGCGCTAGCCTTCAGCTGAAGAGCTGAGGGAGAGCGCCCAGGCCCCAGAGTGAAGGCCCCACAACCGACAAAAAAAATAAAAAAACTAAACATAGCCAGGCACCTGTGGCTCACACCTGTAATCCTAGCTACTCAGAAGGCTGAGATCTGAGGATCGCAGTTCAGAGCCAGCTCAGGTAGGAAAGGCCATGAGACTGTTATCTCAAATAAACCACCAGAAAACCGGAAGTGGTGGTGTGGCTCAGAGTGGTAGAGCGCTAACCTTGAGCTGAAGACGTGAGGGACAGCACCCAGGCCCAGAGTTAAAGCCCCACAACTGACAAAAAAAAAAATGGAGAAAAGGTCTAAGGGGCATGGGTCAAGCGACTGATTTCAAAACTCATAACCCAAAATCAAAGTTAGAAAACATAATTGTTGCAATTGTATGTAGTTATGCTTAATATTCTTATTTAGGAGAAATAATTTTAAATATTAGAAGGAAATCAGTATATTCTGTTTGCATTTTTCATAATTTTCATAATTGAAATTAAAAGGAACTTTTTTTCATGGTATATTACAATCTTTTCAATGTGTTGAATTTTGTTTGTAAGTATTTTGTTGAGAATTTTTGCATCTGGATTTATCAAAGAAATTGCTCTGTAATTTTCCTGTTTTGTCATGTAAGAGAAAGTTTTAAATCTGATGATTTTTGCATCATCAAAATGTTATCAGATTAATTACAGTTGCAGGAGCTATAAAAAAAAGTATTAAAAGCTAGTGTAAATTCACGCTTTATAAATTTTAGAAAATAATATATTTTAGTTTCACCTTTAGCATTTACCACTAATGACAATTCTGATGGCTGGTTTCATTGTTTCCTAGCTAATTGCCTAGTTTTAACACTGCTGAAGACACTTCTGTCTATACTTTCAAGTTGAATGGGCTTATAAATGGTTCAGTTATGTACTTTATATGCCAAGAACTCTTAACCATATAGATAACAAAAATCTTTTGAGTTTTCGTTCAGTGTAGAGAACTTTTAATCAACTGAACAATTTGTAGTCTTATGTAAAAAAGTATGTTATTGTTTCATCTACTTTAGACAGATTTTTTTTTCACCTTCCAGATGTTTCTGCTGTGCCCCGTGGGACTCCATTATATGGGCAGCCATCTTGGTGGGGTGATGATGAAGTGGATGAACAGAGAGCTTTCAAGTCGAGTGGCAAGTCTGAAGAGAAAAGTCATGAAACCGGACCATCAGGTAAAAAGATCTCAATGGTTGTCATTCAGTGAATATTTTAGGAAGCGTTATAGTCTCATAAAAAAATCTGTCTACTTCTGAAAGAGGTGATCTACTCTGCTACTTGATTTTAAAACTTAATGAATGTTTTAATTGCTTGTTATTTTAATAGAAATTTCTTTCTTATGAAGTCTTTTCAATATCTTCGTACAGTGCTTTCATTTAAAGTTTTTTCCAGTGTATGAAATCATTAAAACTTACAAATTAATTATACAGTTGGATATTTTTATGTTGAATAAAACCTGGATAAAATGAATTTGACAAAAATAGGTACAAATGACTTCTGTGTTTTCCAGAAGCACATACTCAATGTAACGTAAATTATTTCTACTATGTACAAAAATGTGATATGTAATGACAATTTCTTTAAAACCTGAGTGTCTTAAGTTTGTTGGAGTATGATAGCAACATGATTACTGAGCTTGGCAGCCAGAGTGAATAATGTTCTGGGTCAGATTAATGTTAAGATGAGTAAACTGGGAATCTGTTAGTGGAGAGATTAAATATTCAAAAACCGGAATATCAGTTTTCCAGAAAATATTGTGGAAGTAACAATTGTTTGCCACGTAAGGATATTAAAAAGACATCAAACTACATGCTGGGCCCTCTTGGCCCTCAGCCTCACTCAGGAGGCTGAGATTTGAGGATCGTATTTTGTGGTTTGAAGTCAGCTCAGGCAGAAAAAGCTATGATACTCTCTCTAATTAACCACCTAAAATCTGGGAGTGGAGTTGTAATTCAAAGTGGTAGTGTGCTACCGTTGTGTAAGAAGAATTCAGAGACAGTGCCCAGGCCCAACAATTAAAAGAGAGGGGGAGTAGTAGAGAAGAGAGAAAAAGACATCAAACTGGAATGAAAAAGCAGCAGTACAGTATAGAGATAAAACCATCACTTAGCTTACACTTCAGTGATACTTAGTTTATGTAGACACTCTCTTCTAAGTGACATCTGTATATTTGATCCTCATAACACTACCAAAAAATAGTAATGTTGTTTGTGTCCATCTTATAGATTTAAAAAAAAACTAAAGCACAGTAATGTTCATTTACTTACCAAAGTCTCCCAACTAGCAAACAATGGAGCTGGGATTTGAACTCAGGTTCAAAGCTCCAGATCCAATCTCTTAACAAGCAGTTAAAATTTCAGTGACATATTACTCTCATAAACATATAAACTCACACACATACAAACATGCGCATAAAATTAATTAATTCAAAAGGATACAATTCAGAAGGTGCAAAAACTTTAGACTCCAAAAACGGATGTTGAAAATTGATCCTTTTTATCTCAGCATAATATAATAATTTTCAAATTGTGTAGTATTTAACAGTATTTTCTAAATTTTTAAATGCTTAGCAGTTTGTTACACTGTACAGTGTCATTTCTTCCAATGATCAAAAACTCTCTTAAAACTAATTGTCAGCCGGGTGCTGGTGGCACATACCTGGAATCCTAGCTACTCAGGAGGCTGAGATCTTAGGCTTGCGGTTCAAAGCCAGCCTGAGCAGGAAAGTCCTTGAAACTCTTATCTCCAGTAAACCACCAGAAAAGTGGAAGTGGCACTGTGGCTCAAATAGTAGAGCACTTGCCTTGAGCTGAAGAGCTGAGGGACAGCGCCCAGGCCCAGAATTCAAGCCCAACAACCAACAAAAAAAGAAAAAAGAAAATAAACTTGTAAATGTCTTGAGTATTAAGGAATTAACTGATTTGTCTTGTGTTAAAAAGCTTTAAAGTGGTCAAATTCAGCTGACTAACGGTTGTTGAGTGTGTCTTACTTGCTTCCTTATATTGATCTGATCATGTAAATATATCATTTGCAATTCTTTTTAAATTAAGAATGGAGGAGAAAGTTTATCGACTTGAAATAATTTCTGAAGTCAGCAGATTATATTATAGAGTAGGATTTTTAAATGTTTACCTTTGATCATTTTGTAATTACAATATTTTTTAAGATTTAAGTGCTTCACATGAAATATAAATTACTGCTTTAAAAACATACTACAGCCAGATGCTGGCGGCTCACGCCTGTAATCCTAGCTACTCAGGAGGCTAAGATCTGAGGATCACTGTTCAAAGCCAGCCTAGGCAGCAAAGTCCATGAGACTCTTATCTCCACTTAACAACCAGAAAATGGGAAGTGGAGCTTGTAGCTCAAGTGGTAGCATGCTAGCCTTGAGCTGAAGAGCTGAGGGACTGCAGCCAGGCCCAGAGTTCAAGCCCTACAACTGACCAAAACAAAACAAAACAAAAAAAACCTTCAAGGATACTCTCAATGAAAACAAGAAATGAGTTTTTGGTTGGAGGTGTGAAGTAATAAATAATTGTTCAGCATGTAGGAGACCCTGGTTTTGATTTCACCCCTCAAGAAAAATAAGGTGATTTCTTTCTTGGTTATTGATATTTTTAGAATTTAAAAACTGTATTTACTATGTCACTATAAAAAGGTGAACAGTCTAAAAACAGTAAGAGAGTGTTTATTACAAAATCATTTTTGTCACCTTTGTGGGTCTACATCCATAATGTCCTAAAAAATATTAACCATATAACCTAAAAATATTAAAAGCAAATATTTACATTAGAGCAATGAAGTCCAAAAATTATGTTCGTATTTTGAATCCTACTACAGAAAATGTACCCTTAGCTTACGTAGCTGCAGTTTTTCTTCTACTTTCTGATTCTCAGCATTCATTTAGGTTACAATTAAGGATTTTAAATGTCAAGTATGTTTTGTAAAGGCACATAATTGAACATAGCATATTTCCTTTATATTAATTTTGAACAAATGAAACTAAATTTATAAACATTCAGTTTGTACTTCCCTTTTTGCCAAAAGGAGCTTAACAGTATTTAATTAAAGGTATTCAACAAAGCTAGTATGGTGACTTAAGCAGAGTACATCATAATAATCAGTTTTTGTTGCCTTGAATTGATTTAGCATTTTATTTTAGCACAGAACAATAGCCATTTACAGTGGATAATGTGTATTACAAGTACTCCTGGAAAGTTACACAGTCATGAAATACCTGTGAATATGAAGAACATAAACAGATTATCACCAACTGATCTCCTTTGAATAAAATGTACACAGTTAATTCTGGCATAACCAGATACCAAGTAATTTTTAATCTAAATAATTAAGATTAGTTATAAAATGTTCATATAAGCAAATAGTATATATTTACTTTGGCATAAACAAACTTTGTGTTGAAATGATTGGTAAATTCAGAAATCACAGAATATGTTCTCAGTGTTCTAAGAAAGGGTTCTATCATAATATGTAATAATTTTTATAGTAGACACTTAGAAGAGGACCACATTTCTAGTACTTTTTTGAGGGGGGACTAGGAAAAGGAATCTCTCCACACAATGAATGTTCTACACTAATTGAATTAATTAATTTTACTTTTATAACTGAGTTTTTTAAATAGTTGAAACCATTTCCTTTCTGTTAAATATACTACACATACTTAGCTTCTTAAGCAAAGGAAATAGGTGGAGTGCAATTTAAACTTTTCTTTATGATTAAGAATCCTTGTTATGAAAATGATACTCAAGAGCCTTTAATAAGTGAGACTGCTGTATATACAAGATGGCACTGAAGCTAAGTGAGTTTTAAGCATTTGATAGATTTTTTTTCTGTCTTAACCTTTATATCCAAATTTAATCTTTTCATTTTCAAGAGTAAACAAAACAGTACATTTTGAAGATAATAATTTTCATATTAAATTTTTTTACGTCTGAGATAGTCTTGTGTTTAGATTTTTTTTGTTGGTGGTAGTTCTAGGGTTTGAACTCAGACTAGGGCAAACAAACACTCAACTACTTGAGTAAATTTTGAAAATAATAACTATATTAAAATTGTTGTCCTGAAATATTCTTGGCCTTCTGTTTACATTTTTTTCTTTTTTTCTTGATGATGGTTCTAATGTATGAATTCAGGGCTAGGCAAGCTCTCTATCACTTGAGTCATGCATTTAGCCCTTTTTGCTTTTGGCTATTTTTCAGGTAGGGTCTTATTTTTGCCTAAGGCTAGCCTCTTAGATTCTTAATCCTCTTATCTTATTCTTGCTTTGTATAATCTTCCATGCAAATCAGGTGACTGTCTTGTGCTGCCGTATTGGTTAGGATAGGGATCTTACAAATTTTTTGTTAATGGCTGGCCTCAAACCATCATCCTCTGATCTCTGGGATTATAGGTAATTGGGATTATAGGCAAGATCTACCATGCCAGACTAGATTCTTTTGTTGACAATATATGTTCACGTTTATTATTATTATTATTATAGGAACAGAGCTTAATGCCTTCTATACTTACCCCACATTTGATTACAGGGATGTTAATTCTGTTCTTTTATAGCCTAACCAGACAATTTTATGACTGTCTCATATTCAGAGTGCTGTCAAGAAATTAATTATTGCAACTGATGAATCTCACCAAAAGATTGAATATTTGAAACTACTTCAGCAGAAAAATGCTTTACTTAATGAAAAAATAATTGGAAAAACAGTTTTTCTCTATTGCCTTTTCTTCCTAATAAATTATTTGTAACTGATTTTCTACCAATCTGTTTGAATACAGAGTGGATTTTTGAGGGAAAAATACATTATTTAAATTGATTCTCGATAATAGATCTTCATAATAATAGATACAGTTCTTTTACTCTTTGTTGTTGTTGGTAGTGCTGGTGGTGGTCATGGGGCTTGAACTCAGGGCCTATGCACTATCCCTGAGTTTTTTTGCTCAAGGCTCTAGCACTCTACCACTTTGAGCCACAGCTCAACTTCCAGTATTTGAGTGGTTAATTGGAAATAAAGAGTCTCACAGGGACTTTTCTGCCCAGGCTGGCTTTAACTGTAGTCCTCAGATCTCAGCCACCTCAGTAGGTAGGGTAATAGGCATGAGCCACCAGTGCCTGGCTCTTGTTTTATTTTAATTTTTTCTTGTGCATTTGCCTTACCCAATAACACACAATATAAGGCATTTTAGTTATTTCATTTACATGCTTTATGTATCTTACTTGAAAAAGTATCTGTTTTCATGCCTTTCTGTTTAGAGGCAGCACAACAATTTAACATTTCATAGTTGCTTGCTCCTCTTTCCAGCTGTTACTTATCTGAGATTTACAGTTCATCTTTCCTCCGAAGATTTTTTTTTTTTGGTCTCTTGTGCACATTGTGCTATATACAAATGTAAGATAATTTTCTTTCAGAATTACTGACTGGCAACTGAGTTGTCTAATTTTACATTATTACTTTCAAACTGTTGCTTGGACTGTTTTGCTACAAACAAACCAAATATTTTACCTGATCATTCTTTGGTCTTTACAAAATGTAAGAAGTAATATTATTTTTGACATCCTAAACATAATATCATTAGTGTAATGGTAAAGAATGGTAAGTGTGATGATTTCTTCCAAAACACAACTTACCCTTTTACTTCATGCTTGCATCCTCATTTGAATACCTGTTCTCCATTGGAGCGCTAATTTGTTCATAAATATTTCAATATCTCATCCTGCTAACTTGATGAAAAAATTTCATGCTTTTTCTATCCATCCTGCGATATTTATATTGGACCTGTATCTCCATCTCCATTTGATTTCAAATCTTTTGCACCTTGATGATTCTAGATCAAGTTGGGAAAATGATGGATCTATTGGTGCAAGGTCCATCTCTTGATTATCCCTTGCTGTCCTTGGCCATTGCTGCTGCTTATCTTGCATGTTCATAATCCACATTCTTTCTTCTCTGTTACTTTTATTTTTCTGATGATACCTGAGTTTGAACTTAGGGCCAAGTGCTCTACCACTTTCTTTTCTATGTTAAAAATGACACTGTTCATCGAGGCTATAATCAGCCTTCTGATTCTCTGAGAGAAATGCAAATGGTCATTACCAATGTCCCTCAAATACTAGAAGTCCCCAAATATTTTGAATTCTCTCTTATTTTTCTCATTAGGATGCAGCGTAAATGCCAAGCAAGTTGAGGAGCAGTCTGCAGCTGCAAATGAAGAAGCACTTTTTCCTTTCTGTAGGGAACCAAGTTACTTTGAAATCCCTACAAAAGAATTCCAGCAGCCATCACAAATTACAGAGAGCACTATTCATGAGATCCCAACAAAAGACACACCAAGTTCCCATACAACAGGTGCAGGGCATGCTTCATTTACCATTGAATTTGATGACAGTACCCCAGGAAAGGTAACTATTAGAGACCATGTGACAAAATTTACTTCTGATCAGCGCCACAAGTCGAAGAAGTCTTCTCCTGGGACTCAAGACTTGCCGGGAATTCAAACTGGAATGATGGCACCAGAAAACAAAGTAGCTGACTGGCTAGCACAAAACAACCCTCCTCAAATGGTATGGGAAAGAACAGAAGAGGATTCTAAAAGTATTAAAAGTGATGTTCCAGTATACTTGAAAAGGTTGAAAGGTAAAGTGCATTGATCATTTCAGAACTTCGTATTGTCTAATAAAAAAACCCAAAAACTTTGACCTTCATAATTATCAAGCCATTAGATATTTGAATCATAGAGTTGCTTTTTCAAAGTTTACATTTAATTTTAAAGCTCAGAAGCAAACTGTGTTGCCCATATCCAACTTATTCATTCAAAAATAGTATTTCTTCATTTTCTTGCCAAAACCAAATTGGTTTTGTGAATTTTGTCATTAAATTATATTTCCTATGGAAATATAAAACTTAGCTCACCAGTGGAATTCCCTAGAAGATTATTACCATCATTTTCTTGATTTAAGGAAAAGATACATACAATTCTATTCTCTATGTACTGCTTCTAGGAAAATATTAATATCTAGATTTTTTTTTAATTTAAGCTGTTGTTTGTGACCCAAATGTTCCACTTTTATAATATAGTTACACCATTGATTATGTCAAACTATTTATTTCTCAATAGTTACTCATAAAACATAACTTTTTATTGAGAAATATGGGGTATATCAATCTAAATTTTTCTTCATATTAAGACTGAGAATCACAGATTAATGTTCATTTGTGAAATTATTATATATTCCTTAATAGTATATTGCTTGGCCAAAATACTTTAAAAAATCTTTGCCATATGCTGGTGGCTCATGTCTGTAATCCTCACTATTCAGTAGACTGAGATCTGAGGATCACTGTTCAAAGGCAGCCTGAGCAGGAAAGTTCATGAAACTCTCATCTCCAATTAACTACCAAAAATCTGGAAGTAGAGCTGTAGTAGCTGTAGAGTGGTAGGATGTTAGCCTTGAGCAAAACAAGCTAAGAAACAATGCATAGTACTGAGCTCAAGGCCAAGGATGAGCACAGAACTTTGTACTGTGATGGTATCAAATGATACATTTTTCCCATTAGTTTTGTTAGTTGAATTTTTTATAGAATTATTAAACACAGATACATGTTACTCTGTATATTTAATAAGCTACTCATAAATGATTTTGGACAAATTGTGACTGTATGTTAACCTGATTGTTCTATGCCTTCATTAAAAGTTAATGAGTTTTTTTAAACATATTCTTTTAAGTTAAGAACCATACTTTATAACTTAACACGTTATCTGGGACTTGAGCATGTGATAGGTACTGAGCAATTTGAACAAACAATGAATGACTTCACTGTTAATGAGAGGATTTACACTGACAACACATTCCTTATATCCTAGGATTTTGTTCAAGTAATGAAGAAATGAAAACCTTATATTTATTTCTGATTTGTTCCTGAGACATTTTAGGATAGTAAGATGATATAATTTGCTAATTCTTTATTGGCACCTATTAGAATATTTCCTTTTTTTTATTGTGAAAAAGCTGTACAGAGGGGTTACAATTACATGGGCAAGATAATCAGTACATTTCTTATCAAGCATTGTAGCCTCCTCCTTTGTTTACCCTTCCCATCCTCCCCCTTCCCCGCCCCAGAATATTTCCTTATAGTCATCAACAATTAAGTGGTATGTGTACTTTTCACACTTGATTATGGTTTTTTGTTTTACTTTTAGACTAGATAATATAGATATATAGTTGCAAACAAAGCTGACAACTAAAAGCTATACATATCATAATGTGCTGATGATAAGTGGTAGTATGAAGGGAAAATTTAGAAAATCTTTTTTAAAGCCACACTTAACTACATAAGAAATTAATCTATGTAAGCCAAGAACGAAGAGACAAACGGTACATGGTCTCCCTGATAAGTGGATGCTAAATCCAAAATGTTAGGTGATATGACAAAACTAACAGGACTTAAGAAACAAAGAACTCCCGCTCATCTGGTTGAACCACTACTAAATATCCCCATGCTGCTGATCACAAATATGGTATATAACATGTGAACACTGTTATATATTACAGACTATGATAGACAATTTGCTCCAGGAAAGTTAGAATGAACTTGTGACTTTGAAATTATGTAATCACTTAATCACAATCAAAAAAAAAAAGAACCTCGGGGAAGGGAGGGAGGGAGGGGATGGTAGGGGGAAAACAATGGAGGGGGGTAACAATGTTCAAGAGGAAGTGTACTCATTACCTCACTCATGTAACTGTAACCCTCTGTATAGTATCTTTACAATAAAAAAAAAAACCTATCTATTATTATTTCTAGCTGTGTGCCAGTGGCTCACAACCATAATCCTAGCTACTCAAGAGGCTGTGTTCTGAGGATCATGGTTTGAAGCCAGCCCAGGCAGAAAAGTCTGTGAGACTCTTATTTCCAGTAAACTACTTAGAAAAAGCCCAAAGTGGAGCTGTGGCTCAAGTGATAGAGTGCTAGCCTTAGAGTATTAGCCTTGAGCACAAAGAGGCTCAGGAACAGCGCCCAGGCCCTGAGTTCAAGCACCAGGACTGCAAAAATAAAAAAGAGCATACTATTTTCTAAAAAACTGCTTAAATCCTTTTTATAATAATATAATAATTATAATAGTTTTCTGTATTTGCTGCTGTTTTTAAGCTATCATTCTCTGCTCTTGAAAAAAAGTCCATTTGTGACAAATAGACATTGATGTCCACATGCACACTGTATCACTACATTAACCATAGTTATTTACTTACCAAGTTATAAAACATGGTTAGCATGTCAAAAGATATAACTCAGAGTCCAAATAAATACAATTAGCAAGTAATAACCATTTTACCAAGATTAGACTTCACCTGTTTACTTAAACAATTAAAGTAAGCAAAACAAAACAAAAATACCTTGCTCCTACAAGAGTAAAGTGCACGCGCTTTGGGACAGTGAGGAAAATAATGTTCACAAAGCCCATACACTTTCACCCTTTAGGAGAGTTGCAGCTTCTTTTAGCTACAGCTACTAAGTACATCTAAGCTAATCTAACTGAAAAGAACTTCTGTGTGTCTAGGCATGGCTAATGATAGCAGGAGCTGGGGAAGCTTGGTAAAGAGTTCCTAAGTGATCTTTATATTCAAATACAGAAGGTTGTAGCTCTATTTAGTTATCTCCCTGATTCAGAAAGAAAAATAATGGTCCAAATAGAAAATGGCTTATCTCTATAAAACGTTTTAAACTATAATTTACATGAAAGATATCCAAAAGGGCCTGACACAATTAAGTGCCAGAATTTGTAAATTCTATAGCAATCATATTTTTCATTAAAACATTTAAGTGGAAGTTTCTTATGGGTTATGTTGGTCTTATTATATAGGAGATAATTGGAATTTTGTTATATCTGGTTATTTCAAACTGGATTCCTTTTCATTATATCCAATGTAAAGTAAGATAAGTGGTAAAATGTGATGTTCTCAGTGAATTTTGTATTTGAATTAGGGCTATATTTCAGTTTTGTTTTCCTCTGCTCTATATGATTTCTAGATTATCTGAGGCAGGGATTTCATTAAACACATTTTTTCTTTATATATTGTAATTTGAATAATGATTCCCAGAGTTTTAATTTTGTTGTATTTTGATTGGGGGGGGGGGGGAGGGTCTGGTCATGGGGCCTGAACTCTGGGCCTGGGCGCTGTCCCTCAGCTCTTGAGCTCAAGGCTAGCGCTCTACCACTTGAGCCACATTGCCACTTCCAGCTTTTTTTCTTTTTGCTTATGTGGTGCTGAAGAATCGAACCCAGGGCCTCATGCATGCAAGGCAAGCACTCTACCACTGAGCCACCTTCCCAGCCGGAGTATTTTGATTTTTTATGATACTAAGCACTATCACTTAGGTAGGCATTCTCCCAAAGTCCCTTAGCTTTGATCTTTATTTTTCTTACATTTCTAAAACATCAACGTTTTCTGCTACTTGGTGAGTCTTCTCATTCCTTTCATGTAGTACATTTTTACAAGTAATTTACTTATGTTTTGTTACTGCTACTTAGTAGCTTCTAAATTGATTAGGACCAAACCCAAGAGCATTAAAACTCAACTTTTTCCCTAGGCAGGGCTTGATGTCCTCCATCTCCCCCAGCCTTTCATTTCTACTCATTATTTTGTCAGGTATAATAGTATTGAGCAGGCATTCATTTGCATTAAAGTTTGTAACCCAGAAATATTTAAAAATCATCTTTAGTTCTGGAAGCATCGTAATGTGCTTCCAATGTACATTCTGATGTACCAGATTCTTTGTAGCTTTCAATGAAATCATTTATTTAAGCACTGATTTGTGATTATCTTTTTTTTTCGGGGTGGGGTGTATATTTGTGTGCCTGTGCTGGGGCTTGAACTCAGGGCCTGGGCATTGTCCCTCAGTTTTTATGCTCAAGGCTTAGCACTCTACCATTTGAACCAAAGCTCTACTTTTAGCTTTTTGGTTATTGGAGATAAGAGTCCCACAGACTTTCCTGCCCAGGCTGGCTTCAAACCATGATTCTTACCTCTCAGACTCCTGGGTAACTAGGATTACAGAAGTGAGCCACCAACACCCAGCTGGTTATTCTAATGTAATTATTATTTAGGTAGGAAAAAATTTCAAATTGAAGTTAAATCAGTAAAAGGTCAAATGATTCTAATAGTGTCACATCTAGTCTCTAAAGAACTCTAAGAGTTAATTAACTACTTAATGGTTTTTACTTGCTCTAATACAGGAAAAACTGAAGAAAATGTTTCTAAATTCAAATATTGTAATTTGACTGTAGATGCTTTACGTTGAGGAAATCTGTTTATATTTAGCCCTATGTTATTTGCCTAGAGGTGCAAAGATTAAAGATCCCATAGCTGGACTGGGAATGTGGCTTAGTGGTAGAGTGCTTACCTAACATGCATGAAGCCCAGGGTTTGATTCCTCAGTACCACATAAACAGAAAAAGCCAGAAATGGTGCTGTGGCTCAAGTGGTAGAGTGCTATCCTTGAGCAGAAAGAAGCTCAGAGACAGTGTCCAGGCCCTGAGTTCAAACCCCAGGACTGGCAAAAAAAAAAGTTGTAATTATTATTTTCCGTGATAGACCTATTAACATTCTTTAAGCCATCTTTAAAGCCATTAGAAATTATCATACTAAGAAAAAATGGAAGCATTGTGCTATTGCTAGTAAGAATCTTTTTATTAAAGCAAGGGGATGCTGGACTTTTCATAGTATTCAGTATTACCACACATGAAGACTTAACACATTTTAGTATTTGTGTTCTCTTTTCATAATAAGTATTTTAATAGTATCACCCTCTTTCTTGTCTTTCTTGCATTCTAATGTTAGACTAATTTTTATTAAATACTTTTAAGATTTGGAGACAGAAGCAATGTGTATTGAGTTATGAATACAAACTATAACAGATGATAGAACATTGCTTATCTGTTAAGACACTGATGGATCTATAAAGTGAAGATTTGGAGAAAGAAAAGTAATCTGATTCAGTTGTTTATAATGGACCTCATTGTTGGTTGATAAAATTTGAATGTAGCCATTGCAGTTGAGGGAAGTTTGCAGAGCCTGTTACTAAAAAGAACATATGACTTTGGATAGAAAAGTGGGAGGGAGCCAAAACAAACAGCACTTTTGTATATGCCTCTAATTTTCTACATGGGACTCTTTTCTTCTCTATTATGTGGTTTCTCTCTTGTGTCCAGGAAATAAACATGATGATGGTACACAGAGTGATTCAGAGAACGCTGGGGCACACAGGCGCGGTGGCAAGCGTGCTGCTCTCGAGGAACACGTAAGACGCCACCACTCTGAGCAGAAGAAGCTGCAGAAGGTCCAGGCTGCTGAAAGACATCAAGATCAACCTGCTGTAAGTTAATCTGCTTTTATTATTGCTTTTTTTTTCTTTTTTCTTTTTTTTGTACCAGTCCTGGGGCTTGAACTCAGGGCCTAGGCACTGTCCCTGAGCTTTTCAGCTCAAGGCCCGTGTTCCATTATTGAGCCACACCTCTACTTCCAGCTTTTGTTGTTGTTGTTGTTGTTAATTTTTGGTGCTTAATTGGAGATAAGAGTTTCGCAGACTTTCTTGCCCAGGCTGGCTTTGAACTACAATCCTCAGATCTCAGCTTCCTGAGTAGCTAGGATTCCAGGTGTGAGCCACTGGAGCCAGGCATGATTGCATTTATTGATGAAGAAAGTTCCAGAAAAAGGTCACATTTGTTACTCAAAATACAGGAATCCTTCATCAGGAAACTACGTATTCAGCACCACATACAAAACTTGAAAAAACAAAATCAACAACAGCAGATGCCAAAGTGGTTTCTTTGTCTTTACAGACTAGCTCTGCGCATCACAGAGGGGGGCATGGTGTTCCACATGGGAAATTGTTAAAACAGAAATCAGAGGAGCCGTCGGTGTCAATACCCTTCCTACAAACTGCATTATTAAGAAGTTCAGGGAGTCTTGGGCACAGACCAAGCCAGGAGATGGATAAAATGTTAAAAAATCAAGCTACTTCTGCCACTTCAGAAAAGGATAATGATGATGACCAAAGTGACAAGGGTACTTATACCATTGAGTTAGAGAATCCCAACAGTGAGGAAGTGGAAGCAAGAAAAATGATTGACAAGGTAAATAATTGAATGCAAGCATGATATTAGTTGTTGTGTGGTATATTTGACTGTTAGAAATTAATGGAGAATCAAGATGAAATGGTCTTACACAGTCAGTGGTCTTAGAACCTTAGAGTTTTGTTAGGGATCTAGAAGACTGATAATAAGACAGAAATGCTTTCTGCTTTCCTTCGATTATATTCTGCATTTGTCTAAGTTTCATATAGGTCTTATTCTGCATTTAAACTGGACCTTTTAAACTTGTGTAAATCTCAGCTAGGTTTTAAAAATAGCATATTTTGGAATTTTTATTTTGCCATCATTTGTATCCAAATTAAACAATGAAATAAGTTGCTTTAATTCTGTTGTTATAAACCTAAAATATTAACTACAGACTTACTGCATACTGATTTTATGATGTTGGAAGCAGATGATATTACATATGTTTTAATGAACTTTTTCCTAATTTTTATTTTTTTATTACTATTTATTTTGTCTTTGGTGATAGAAAAGAACTGTATGAGAACAAAGTCATTTTTTATATTGTACTCATTTTAGCCAAATTTACACTAAGTGATCATCATTATCTACATTTCCAATATTTCTTTAACTTTATTGATGTTTATAATGATTGTTGTATGTTTTTAAATAGTTCGGTTTTTTTCAATTTTGACTTCAGTTCAAAGTTGACTTTAGAACCAGCTATTTATTTTACCTCCTGGCTAAAAATCTCTTACTTAAATTCTGGTTAAACCGTTAGAACCAGCTATTTATTTTACCTCCTGGCTAAAAATCTCTTATTTAAATTTGGGTTACTTAAAGTGTGCCCCAGTAGTGAGCAATATTAACATCACTAAGAAGGACCACTCCAAACATACTGAATCAGAATCAGAATTAAAAACAAGATGGCTAGGTAATTCATATGCACATTAATATTTGAGATGCTCTAATTTAGCTGATTAGTTTTCAGAATGATCCTGCCTAGGAAATGGACAAGATGTCTAACATTTAGGGATGCAGAAAAAAAGTTAGGATTTATGTTTACTTTATCTCCTCTTTCTTGGCTTATTTCTTTCTTTGCTATCCTGGTGTCTGAATTTTAGGCATGGTGGTTAAGCAGTCACTTTACCACTTAAACCATACCATTTTAGAGTTTATCCTATACTAGATTTAGTGTATTACTGTAGTGTACATATTCACAATTCCTAAACATACATTTATTGAAGGGTACATAAAAAGAAACAGATTTTCATTCATAATGATTGATTTTTTTTCCCATAAAGGATTATTTTAGCTGAATACCCATGGCTTACACCTGTAATTGAACCTGCTCTGGCCAAAAAGTTTTAAGGACTCCATCTCCAATTAGCCAGCAGAAATTTCAAGTGGTAGAGCACCAACTATGAGCAAGAAAGCCAAGAGAAAACTTGAGGCCCTAGAATCAAGCCCCCCAGTACTGGCACAAAAAGATTATTATACTATTATAGTTAGCAGTTTTTTTTTTCAGCATTTAAGAATGCAGACATGTCTGCATTAAGTGTGAACTATTGAGATGCTAATGTGTGCTCTTGGGTAAACTAACTTCTTTAAACCTGGGTTTCATTTGTAAAACGGAAGACATTTCATTAGCTTTCTAAAAGAATTTTTAAAATACCTACTAGTCTTATCATAATGTTTTATGAGAGCCTGTAAAGATTAGCTGTGTTTATTTGCTGGTTTTGGCCAGCAGATTCCAAGATGACAGATGAAGAATATGCGTATGCAGTATTACCTTATAATCTTCTAATAATGCGTTAACTGACAGACATGATAAACTGAGGATGTCTCCCCCAGCCTCCACTTCTATAGGTTTAGTTTGCCCCAGGCTTTAGGAGAGTTATGGGGAAAATAAAAGAGCACATTCCAAGAGGTAGATAACAGGAAGCCAGGAAGCAGTGGTATAAATCCATGCAGAGACTCTTCCTATCTTTTGACAGGATTACAGCATGAGGTCACAAACTCATAATCCCATGTCTTTACTTAGCTATAAATATAAACAACCACCCAACCAGGGTTTTCCACTGGTATCATCCAAGCACACTAGTCACATCTCCTGTAGCCAGTTACATCCTCACAGGGCTCTAGAACTCCCATATTTATTATTACTCATATTAATAATTTCCACATGTGAACTTCAACACAAAGTAGTGACAAACCCTTGGAACAGTTTTCAGCACTGAAAGAGTCAAATGTGCAGCTGAAGTGGAAGTTATCATGCAAGGTCCTGTAGCCAGGACAGAAGATAGCCAAGAAAGTCATCGTTGCAGATGAGGCCCTTTAGGAAACTGTTGGAGCAAAGGGGGGTTACAGAATCTAGTTTTATACCTAGTGTCGGTGTCATAAGCATCTTTTGTCTTCAAGGAGTCCCTTCCCCCCACCCCCCCACTCCGTTTGACATCAAATTGCTAGTCACACTAGGAATAGAGAAACCCAAGATTTAAGAACAGGATTCATTTAAAGGAGTAATGGCAGTATGAAACTAGATACTTAATTCAGGCTTTCTTAATATATATAAATCAGAAAATCAAACTGAGACCCTATTTCAGAGAAAACAAGGATCACTGCATTCTATCTTGTGACTGCCAAAGTAAAAGCGCTGAGATTCCATTATCTGTGGTTTATACTGATGCTAGATTGAGGCTAATTCAGGTCTGGCTTTGGGGAAACAAAAGTGAACCAAGAGCCAAATGTCTGAAGAACATGAAGTAATCTGTGGGTGTGGGAAAACAGAGGCAGAGAACAGTCATCCTGAGGGAATGAGCCGCACTGCAGTGGTTAAGAGTAGATCCTGGCATTGTATCAAATTTCTTTGTGAGCTCTGTCACCTCTTCCTTGTAAAGTTTGGGTGTGTGAGGTAGAAGTTGGGGCAGCTGTTACCCATCTGAACCTAAATGGTTTTAGGTCTTGAAAATTTCACAAGGTGTCTGCTTTCTCACTCCATAACTGGCTTGTCATTGGTAATATGCTAAATGCTTTTGATAGGTATAAGGTGTTGAAGGAAAGGTCCTACTAGCTTCTAAGAAGAAATATTTGTTGGAAACTTCTTTAGGGTATCTACACTAAAGAAACTCCAGGGAATTGCCTTCGGCCTGTTCCACTGTGATCATGAGCCTTATCACTCCTTCTGTTTTCCTGTTCTTTTCTCCTCACTTCTCCTGGGGTAGGAGGAGATAAGGAAATGTCAAATCCATGACCACAAGAAACTTAGTGTCACCATGTAAAAGCTCCTCAATAAGAACTGTATTTAATGGCCAGTGAGCCCGTTTTCAGCAGATGGCACATAGGATTTTCGAAAACTATGGACTAGTCAAACAGTGACTTAAGCCTATAATCCTAGCACTTAACAAAATCATACTTTCATGATCTTAAAAAAATAACAAAAATAGGGCTGGGAAGGTGGCTTAGTGGTAGAGCGCTTGCTTTGTATGCATGAGGCCCTGGGTTCGATTCCTTAGCACCACATAAGCAGGGAAAAAAAAGCCGGAAGTGGCACTGTGACTCAAGTGGTAGAGTGCTAGCCTTGAGCTTAAGAGCTGAGGGACAGCGCCCAGGCCCAGAGTTCAGGCCCCACGACCGGACCAAAAAATAAACAAATAAATAACAAAACTAATCAGTTGGAGTCTTCACCTGCCATTTCCTCTGTGGAACAGGAAATGTTTCACAATTTAACCTCTCTCTACTTTATCCTGTGATATTAAAGTAAATACTTACTAAGCTTCTACTTCTTATTAAAGAAATAAAACTCCAGCCGGGAGCCAGTGACTCACACCTGTCATACTAGCTACCCAGGAGGCTGAGATCTGAGGATCACGGTTCAATGTCAGCCTGGGCAGGAAAGTCCATAAGACTCTTATCTCCAATAAACCACTAGAAAACTGGAAGCGGCGCTGTGGCTCAAGTGGTAGAGCACTTGCCTTGAGCTGAAGGGCGCAGAGACAATGCCCAGGCCCAGAGTTCAAGTCTCACAACCGACAAAAAAAGAAACTACAGACAGGAAATGGTGCTGTGGCTCAAGCAGGAGAGTGTTCGCCTTGAGCTGAAGAGCACAGGGACAGCACCCAAGCCCAGAGTTCAAACCCCACGACCGACCAAAAAAAAAAAAAAAAAAGAAACTACAGACAAGTTAGATGTAGAAGAAATATGCATTAACATAATAAACTCCATTTATAGCTATCAGCAGTGAAAGCCAAAGACTGTTCCTCTAAAATCCAGAACACTACATGATTCTTTCTGAGAATGATTCATATGTAAAGAAATCCAATTTGAGCCTGGCACAATGATTCACACCTGTACTCCAAGCTCCTGAGGTTAGAATTAGCAACATCCCAGTTTCAGTCCATCTGGGCAAAATGTATTGGGGCCCCATTTTAGCCAATAAAAAGATGGATGTAGTGATGAATGCCTGTCATTATGTAGCTGTGCAAGAATTATAATTATAAATAAATATTCTCATTACCTGACTTACCTAACCATAACCCCTCTATGCACCACCTTTATAATAACAGTAAAGAAATAAATGAAGTATAAATAGGAGAATTGAGGTTCATGCTCACGTAAGCATAAATGTGAGACCCTGTTTGAAAAATAAGGAAAGGGCTGGGAGCCTGGCTTAAGTAGTAGAGAACCTTCTGTCAAACAAGTCCTGAGTTCAAACCACTATCCCACCAAAAAATAAAAATAAAGTACCATGGGCTTTGTGTTGGTGATGGTGTGGTTGGTGGTGGCGGTGTAAGGGCTTGAACTCATGGACTCATACCCTTACTGAACTTTTTCATTGATGGCTGGCACTGTATCACTTGAATCATGTATCCAGTCCATCCAACCTTTTCTAGGGAGGTGACTGTTTATTTAGAGATACAGCTCCTGGGACTTGACAGCCCAGCTCTTTTCAAACTGTGATCCTCGGCTCTCAACCTCATGAGTAGCTTGGATTATAGTTGTGAGCTGCTGGTGCCTGGCTGTCTTTTTGTTCTTTCTTT